CACAATAATGACTGGGTGGATGATACGGTAAGTAGTAGGAATTCCATCACAAGCTCTCAAAGTGCCTCAGTACCAGTACTGCTGCTGCTGCCTTTTTGGGATACCGTTGAATCCGAAGGTGCTGCCGGTGCTGTTGCGGTCGCCATTGCTGCTGTCTCGTGTGCAAGTGTTGCTACAACCGCTCCAAGTAACAAAGCTGCTGGTACTGGTGGCACTCAAGCTGCTCTCTCCTATTGCACCTGCGTTTCCTGAGGCCGGCCGAGGCTGCTGGCTGCTGCAAGCGAAGATAGGGCTCTTGGATTTTTGTGCTGCTGGTGTGACACTAAGCGATGTGCCAGTAGGTGTGGCAGTTAGAGAAAGAGGTTGAGGAAGATGGGCCGGTAGTGAGAGAGTGAAAGCAGGAGGTGGTGAAGAAGGGGATGACGAAGGAAGGGAGTTATTGATAGAGAGAGGGAAGCAGGGGAATGGGGGCAGAAGGCACAGGAGACTCCTGAGATTTCTTGGGAACAGTTGGGAGTGTGGAGATAGGCAGGCTTGTTGTAGAAGAGTTACTCGTTTTGCTACGGTCGAAAGAGCTGCCGCTGGTGCTCTTGTCGCTGGAAATGCTTGTAGAGAGGGCAAAGATGCAGTGGGTAGAGCTAGAAGAACCAGAAGAGGGACGCGTGATTGCACCGCTGAAGATGGGACCAGAGGAAACAGCAGGGGTGACTGTAACAGGATCAGGGCTTGTAGAGGGGGAAGGCTGGAAACACCTTGCCAAGTTGGAGGCATGAGCCGGAAGGCTACTGTCACTGGATTTTCTTATTTGTGCGAAAGTAGCATCTTCCGTAACACGTTTTGGGCAAGTGGTTGGTCTCAGTCTAGGGATGGGAATTGGGGCTGACTTTGGCGCGGCTGAAAAATTCGGGAGGACCCGACTCGTGTTTGAAGGGCTCGGTAAATGCTCTAGTGAGAACCACCAGTCGTCAGCCACCGATGGTACAGTACTTCGTGTAGGCGAATTCGCCGAGTTGGGTCCGCCTGAAGCATACTCCTCACAAGGTGCTTTGCTTCCGCAGAAATCAGCGACCACGGATGCTTGCTCATATCGGGATCCCTCGACATGCAGCAACGAAAATCGCGTTGTGGTTTTGACCGAAGAATGGAAGAACGCCGGACAGGCAGGTGTACAAAAACAACACCCAGGCTCCAAACGTCAACCTCCGCACCGTATTCCTTTCCAGTGAACAATTTCCGGCGCCATGTAAAACGGGCTCCCTGCCAATCCGTGCAACCGCGACCGCGGCGCGCGTCAGCTGCTACGCCAATCCGAAGTCCCCCACGCGCACCTCCGCGCAACATTCCGCAAGTGGGGGGTCCGAGCGAGATGCGACTGATGCGCTCGTGGGCGGAAAGGCCGCTGCGCTAGTACTAGCACTTGCTAGATTGGCGGAAGCGGAGGCGGTGGAGGTCGGGCGGAGGATGAGGATGTTTTCGGGCTTGAGGTTGCGGTGAACAATTCCGCGCACGTGCATGCGCAGCACGGCGGAGGGAGAGGATCGGCGACGGAGGGAAATCACGGAGGCGATCCCCGCGCCGAGCATGCCGCAACCAAGGAGTCCGAGGCGGCGGCAACGCAACACCATCTGACGCTGCTCCAGCCGACCGTGGTCGAAGTTTCTGCAGCCGTGCTGGATAAGGACAAGGTGGGGGAGCACGAGTCAGGGGCTGGTCGGTGGCTCTCCACCTTCTGGTGGACGGGGGAGGCGTAGGCAGAGGAAGAGCGATGGGGAGGACGATTATGACACCGCCGTGCCCGGGGACCTCATTACGCGGACGAAGAGGCGGCAGACGACAGGTAGTGCTGACGACGCCGAAGGCGCGGCAGTTGGGACACCGCGAGGTGCCAAGGAAGCTAGTGGCAAGGCGGGCGGTCAAGCATTGCGCCAGAAGGGCCGACCCGCAGCAAGAAAAGCATCCGGCGGAAGGAGAGGCAAGAAAGCAGCGACGGGAACAAAGCCGAAACGGGGCGATGAAGACCCCGGTGATGCGGAGGAGGAGGAGGATGAGGAGGAGGATGCGGAGGGAGAGGAGGATGAAGAGGAAGCGGAGGAGGATGACGCGAATGTTGGGGAGGATGAAAAGGATGAGAATGATGGCGGGGAGGACGAAGAGGAGGAGGAGGAGGAGGAGGAGGAGGAGGAGGAGGAGGAGGAGGAGGAGGAGGAGGATGAGGAGGAGGAGGAGAAGGAGGAGGAGGAGGAGGAGGAGGAGGAGGAGGAGGAGGAGGAGGAGGAGGAGGAGGAGGAGGCAGAGGAGGAGGAGGAGGAGGAGGAGGAGGAGGAGAGGAGGAGGAGGAGGAGGAGGAGGAGGAGGAGGAGGAGGAGGAGGAGGAGGAGGAGGAGGAGGAGGAGGAGGAGGAGGAAGAGCACGGGTGACGATGATGAGGAGGATGTGGAGGAGGAGGAGGAGGAGGAGGAGGAGGAGGAGGAGGAGGAGGAGGCAGCGGAGGAGGAGGAGGAGGAGGAGGAGGAGGAGGAGGAGGAGGAGGAGGAGGAGGAGGAGGAGGAAGAGGAGGATGGAGGAGGAGGAGGAGGAGGAGGAGGAGGAGGAAGAGGAGGAGGAGGAGGAGGAGGAGGAGGAGGAGGAGGAGGAGGAGGAGGAGGAGGATGTGGCGCCAGTGAAGGGACGGGGCGGGCGTGGCAGACGGGGTGAGTGGTACAGGGAAGGAGGGGGGCCGGACTCGCCCTTCCCGAAAACGCGGGGCAGTTGACGCTGCGCGCGGCGAAGCATCGGGCAAACTCGAAGGCGCGTAAGGTGAAGGTCGAGAAGTGAAGGGGTTGGTAAAAAGCAAGGGAGCCAGGGAGCAAAAGGGGATGGAGGAGGAAAGGGTGGCCGCGCCAAAGGGGTTCCAGTGGGTACCAGCAAGAAAGAACCTGCCGGTAAACGTCGCAGCGTCCGCCAAAGCACCCCGCGGAAAGGTGGCAACGAGAAGGCGCAGGCTGCCCCAAAAACCGAAGGGACAGCAGAAAGGTGAGCATTGTGTCCAATAAAACTGGCGTGACGTGTTGAACCATCTGCTAAACCGTGCCAAAAAACACCCCTTTTTTCACATTGTTCTCCCATGCAGGGAAGGAGAAGGTCGACGAATCTGCCAAGCAAGGTAAACCCTCTTGTCTCAAACCAGTACAACCCTGAACCCGATCTATATTCAAACCTTTATGAATACGCATGCATGTCTGGCCCCGCCTTGAAACCGATCGACTCTAATTTTTTTTTTTTCCGGCTCCCTCTACATCTCAGCCCCTCGCGTTTACAGGCATTGGGCCGCCCGTAAGCGTGCAACGAATGCATCTAACGAAGGCTGCCGGAAGAGCGAGTGTTACACCGCTCTCCTCCAGAGCACCAAGGTACTACACGCCATGGGCCGGCCCGAGCATAGTCGCTTGCGACGGCACCAGGTGCGCCAAGAGGAGAGGAATCCGAATCCCCTCCACCCGCCCCCGTCACGCAGTCCCCACTCGCCTCACCCTCGTACCAATTTCGGCAACTCCACGCTTCTCCTGTCCGGGGCAGGGCGGTCTCCCCTCTCGCCGATCCTTCGCGCGGGCATTAGGCAGGCAGTTATGCCAATCCCTTCCCTGAGCTCCCCTTTTCCCGCCAGCGTGATAGTGTGAGGGCACACGGGACTGCTGCAGAAGACGTTGATCCCCTTGGCCAGAGGGGGATTCTTCACACCCTTTTTCCTCCGCTCATGGGTGCCCTAGGTGAAAGTGCGGAGCACGAGCATTTTGTTACACGGGAGGAGTTCCAGGCGCTTGCGGTCTGAGATGTACGCCATGTTTGCACAGCTCGGCCTGCGTCGTGGAGTACCTGCCAGCTATGCCGGCGGGTCGGCAGCCCTGCCTATGGCTGGTACCCCCGCCGCCGATGAGCGACGTGGACAAGGCACGAGTGCTAGTGTTGCAGGAGACAAACCCATTCCCGGTATGTGGCGGGCCACATGGGGAGGGTTGGGGTTGACGTGGCAACAAGGGGCGGGGTTGGGGCTGACGTTTGCGGTTTCGAAGGGAACACGGGAGCGGCGCGTGACGAGGCGACGCGTATCAGGTGGGTGGGGGGTGACGTGGCATGGGGTGGGTGGGTGTGACGTGGCAAGTGGCGCGGGTTGTTGGTGGACGTGGCGGATGCGGGTTGGGTGTGACGTGGCAAAAGGTGAGGGTTGGATATGACGTGGCGGTGTGAAAGGGTGCAAGGGAGTGCCGCATGACAGCGCGAGGCGTTTCAGGTGGGTGGGGGGTGACGAGGCTCTTGGTGGGGGGTGTGACGTGGCAAGTAGGGCGGTTGTTGGCGGATGCTGGGGGGTGTGACGTGGCAGAATGTGAGGGTTGGTGCTGACGTGGCGGTTTTGGAATTGGTACACGGGAGCGGCGCGTGACGAGGCGACGCGTGTCAGGTGGGTGGGGGGTGACGTGACATGGGGTGAGAGGGTGTGACGTGGCACGTGGGGCTGGTTGTTGGTGGACGTGGCGGATGCAGGAGGGTGTGACGTGGCACGTGGGGCTGGTTGGTGGACGTGGCGGACAAGGAGGGTGTGACGTGGCACTTGGGGCTGGTTGGTGGACGTGGCGGATGCAGAAGGGTGTGACGTGGCGGAAGGAGAGGGTGGGGATGACATGACAGATGCAGATGGGTGTGACGTGGCAGAAGGTGAGGGTTGGGGATGACGTGGCACCCTAAAAGGGTACACGTGAGCGGCGCATGACGAAGCGAGGCATCTCAGGTGGGTGGGGCTGACGTGGCTCTTGGTGGGGGATGTGACGCGGCAAGTAGGGCGGGTTGTTGGCGGATGCAAAAGGGTGTGAGGTGGCAGAATGTGAGGGTTGGGGCTGACGTGGCGGTTTGGAATGGTACACGGGAGCGGCGCGTGACGAGGCGACGCGTGTCAGTGCCAATGCGGCGCTCAGCAATCCCATTTTGCTGTGGAGAGTCCGGAAGCGTGAAGGTCTGGCGAATGCCTCGTGCACGACAGTAGGCTCGCAGAAGGCCAGAGGAAAACTCTCCGCCTCTGTCAGAGTGCAGACGCAGAACAGGAAAGTCCGAGCCGAAACTCTTCCTGAGCTGGAGACGAGCTGCGCGGATCCAGTCGATCAACACCTCAGTGACATCACCCTTGCTGCGCAAGGGGAAGACTGTGGTGTAACGCGAGTAGTCGTCAACCACCAGCAGAAAGTAGCGCTCGTGACCCTGTCCACGGACGCGGGCTGGGCCCCACACGTCCATGTGAAGCGTCTGCAGCGGGGCCTCTGTCGGAGGAAACTGGGAGGAGTGAGGGGCAGCACGCTGCCGCCCCTCGACACAAGGGACGCAGGTAGGGGCAGGCCCTGGAGGAAGGGGAGGGAGGGACCGGGGAAGACCAGAGACAAGGACACGGGAGGCCGTGCCTCGGAGACGAGGCACGGAGGGGTGACCAAGGCGGTGGTGCCAGAGGAGAGTCTCGTGAGATAGGAGGCGACACGAGCAGGGGGCAGACTCAGGACCAGACCTGGATGCTGCAGCAAACACCTGACCCGACGCAGCTGCCTGACCAGACGCCGTGACTGGACGAGACTCAGTGGTCAGTGTGTACAGGCTCGACCCCGGCCGACGTGTAAACGTGGCCAAGTGTCGGCCCGTCCGAGCGTCCGTGCAGTGGGTCACCCGCTGGCTCGCAGGAGTGAACTGGAGAACCCCCGCATCCTGTAGGTCAGCACCACTCACCAAGTTTGTAGAGAACGAGGGGAGGTAAAGACCAGACAGGGTGCCAGAGGGGGCCGCCGGACACGGGAGGACAGTGGAGAAGTGAGCAAGGACAGGACCCCCAGAGGGGTCTGCCAGAGAGACTGCAACTGGCCGACCAAGCGGCGTGAGTGTGGTGCGGTCTCGAAAGAAGGAGCGAGAAGCCCCCGAGTCAAGGGTGAAGGTGTGGGAGGGCGAAGCTGACGCAGTACCTGAGAGAGCAGACTCACCAGCACCTGAGGAAGCAGACGCACTGGCACCTAGAGCAGCAGCCTCGCTAGCACCTAGAGCAGCAGCCTCACCAGTACCTAGAGCAGCAGTCCCAATGCCCGGGTCGGGCGGAAAACACCGGTAACAGTCACCCTCATCACTAATAGTCACAGCAGACATGGCAACAAGAATAGCATCAAAGTCAAGGTCAAAGATAGCTACTCACGCCCTAGACAGCTCGCCCCAGCGAAGGATCTCAGTGGCCTCAGGAAACTGGTGACGCCAAGCGTCCGTCAGGTGGCCAAAGCAGCGCTGGGTGGAGTGCGCACCCCCGCACGGCTCACCCGCGCGGTCGCCGGTGCGTAGGACGTAGGTGCACGGACAAGTACCCCCACCCCGCTGGCGTGCGGCATACCACTCACGAAGCTGCTGAGGGGGGGGGATCTCACGAGGACGCTGCTGCTGTTGCTGCTGATGCTGCTGGCGCTGACCACCACCGGAGCCAACCCTCTGCGCAGCGCCACCTCGACCAGCTCCACCTCCTCCGCCGCCACCTCCTCCACCGCCGCCTCCTCCACAGCCGCCACCTCCGCCACCTCCGCTCCCACCGCCACCGCCGCCGCCGCCTCCGCCTCCACTGCCGCCACCGACGCCCCCACCCCCGCCACCACCCCCACCGCCACCCCCACCCCCTCCGCCGCCTCCACCGCCGCCTCCACCGCCCTCGCTAGCTCCTCCAGCGCCCCTGCCCCCCTTGCCCTTGCCAGTGCGGCGTCTCCCGCTAGGGGCAGACGCCGCACCGACCGACTCAAGACCAACGAGGTCGGCCGCAGCAGTAGAGGCAACAGAGGGCAAGAGAGGAGAGGGGGAGCACCCCTCGAAGACAGGGGCACGAGGGTCACCACGAGAGGCTCCTACGGCAACTATGCTCTTCTCTGCAGCTAGGAGGCGCTCCTCCAGGAGGTCAACGGTAAGGGTGGTGGGGCAAACAGAGAGGAAGTGGTCCCTGACCGGGGGAAGGGTGTCAGAGAGCCGGATGACTATGTAGTAGAGGGTGATGTACATAGGGGGGGGGGGTTCTTGGCGCAGAACTCAGCGGGAAGGGCAGCGCGGTAGCGAATGTCACTAGTGCGAAGGTGCGTAATGAGGTCAGCGACTGTGGGAAAAGCAGCGAGGTCAGGGAAGAGGTACGGCAGGATGAGGCGGCTAAGTGCAGCAGTGGCAGGGGAAGAGTAGCGTGCGACTACAGCGTCGTACAAGGTCCTAGCACTCTGATACTGGCTAAAGTGTGCACGCTCAGAGGTAGGCAAGTGGCGACGCACAGCAAGACGTGCAGCAGCATCGCGTGTGGCCCACTGTGAGCGAACAGTGGCGTCATCATCAGCAGCAGGGGCAGGAGAGGCACCAGAAGTGAGGTCAAAGAGGGAGAGACCGTCTGCCCTATCGCACTGTAGGAAAAGCTGCAGGTCATCTACCCAGACGTGAAAGTCAATGGCCCGACCCTCAGCGTCAAAAGCGAGGACGCTGGGGGTAGCCATGACTGCAGTAGACTCGCAGCGCGAGCAGTAGGCTAAGGGCAGCGCAGTGGTAGAGGTGCCGCTCTTACCGAACAGGGCGGCTCGGGCGGCTCTGTGGTTCGGCGGCTCGGCAGCAATTGCAGCTCGGCGGCTCGGGCGGCTCGGGTGGCTCGGCAGCAGCGACGGCTCGGCGGCTCGGGCGGCTCGGGTGGCTTGTGCGGCTCGGCAGCAGCGGCGGCTCGGGAGCACAGCGGCAACGGCGGCTCAGCGGCGCCGGCGGTTTGGTGGTGACGGCGGGGCCGTGTAGGGTGGCAGGGCCGCTGAAGGGACGGCGGCGGGGCCGGGTGGGGCGGCGACGAGGCCGCTCAGGGCGGAGGCAGGGCCACGAAGGGTGGCGACCGGCGCCTTAAGGGTAGGGCCGCGGGGTCGCAAGGGTGGGTCGACGGGGCTAACAGAGGCGGCGCCGGGGACGGAAGAGCGGTGCCGGGGCCGCAAGGGTAGGCGACGGGGCCGCGAGGGTAGGCGACGGGGCCGCGAGGGTAGGCGCCGGGGCCGCAAGGGTAGGCGACGGGGCCGCGAGGGCGGCGTGGAGGGGTCGCTAGGGCGGCTCGAAGAGGCCGCGAGGGCGGCGCGAAAGGGGCCGCAAGGGCGGCGCGACGCGACGGGGCCGCGAGGGTGGCGGAACGGGGCCGCGTGGGCGGCGCGACGAGGCCGCGAGGGCGGCGCGACGTGATGGGGCCGCGAGGGCGGCGCGACGGGGTCGCAAGGGCGACTCGACGGGGGCGCTAGGGAGGCGCGACGCGACGGGGCCGCTAAGGCGGCGCGACGGGGTCGTAAGGGCGGCGCGACGGGGTCGTGAGAGGGGAGTGCGACTCGGGCAGAGGCTGAGCGCGCTCCGGGCAGGAAAAAAAAATCGGTGGGCCCTAGGAACAGTTCCCACAGGGGAACCTGCTCTATACCATGTGAAATTGAACGAGGATAAAATACTAAGGGAAAGTTGGGTACAAGTACAAACCCTAGAAAGTTGTACCCCATATGTGCTACCCCACTATAGCCTACAGCAGCTAAGTCATATAAATCTGACCCTGGCGCTGGAGGTGCTAGTTCTGGGGGTGCTGGAGCTGGAGGTGCTAGCGCTGGAGGTGGTAGTTGTGGGGGTGCTGGAGCAAGAGGTACTGGCACTGGAGGTGCTAGTTCCGAGGAGACTGGAGCTGGAGGCACTACTAATGCACCTCCCTACCGCCACGACACACGTCTCCAGGCGGCTCGCCGACGTGAGCGTGAGGAGCAGGAGCGGTTGGACCAAGAGAGGCAGGAGCTACGGCAGTTGGACCTGCAGGAGCAGCAGCAGCAGCGTTCGCCGCAGCCGCCACTTTCCCACCAGTGAGTGGCCTTAGGGCCCTTGGTCTCCCCTCCGCTCCTCCTGTCCACTCACAGTCTCCTATCGCGTACGGCCCTACGTTTCCTCCTCCGGACTCACCTCCGCGCGTTTTCTCTCCTCCTCAGTCAGAGTCGCCTCCTCTTGCTCTCCCGTACGACTAGACCATTCATTGTCCTCCGCGTGCTCGTACCTCCTCTTCTTTTGACAACCTCCGCACTGTCTTGTTTCGTTCTAGTCCCTGTCGTGCTCTGCCTATATCTGTTCTCCCGCCACCTCCTGCGTTGTCTCTCAGTGTCTCCTCTCACCCTATCACTGACTGCTACCATGCTGCTCATCCTGTTGCCTCACGTGTTCTCGCCTCTCTTGTCACCAAACCTCATGCCTCTCCGTCGTCTGTCTCGGCTCTTACTGCCACTGTCGGTGACATTGCTTCCATTCGTCGCCTTGACTTTGCCACGCGTGTAGTGGCTGCTCCGCCTGCACGTCCTCTGTCTGCCGGAGGTGAGTTTGCCCTTGGTTGTGACATCCTAGAGGACAGGCGGTTTGAGTTGGAGTTCTAGGCAGTCGCTTCTCCCTCTCTCTGTGCCATGCTGCTTTCCCCTGAGGGAGACCCCGACGCCCTTGACATTCCGACTCCGCGCACGTATCGTGAGGCAGTGTCAGGGGAGTGGGCCTCTAAGTGGAAAGCGGCTATGGACTCAGAGTTAGCGTCTTGGAGATCCACAGGGACCTACGTCGACACAGTTCCCCCTCCTAGGGCGAACGTTGTCGATGGCAAGTGGCTCTTCAAGGTGAAGCGGCTGCTTGGACCACCGTCTGTTTTCAATGCGCGCTACATGGCTAGGGGTTTCAGTCAGCGTGTGGGAGTTGACTTCTTCCAGACCTTCGCCCCGACTCCGAAGATGACTACTCCTCGGGTGTTACTGCACATAGCAGCACAGCGACACTACGAGTTGCACTCCCTCGACTTCTCCACTGCGTTTCTCCAGGGCCGCCTACACGAGGAGATCTGCATGCGGCATCCTCCTGGCTTCACTGACACCTTCCCACCTGGGACCCATTGGAGCCTGAGGCGACCAGTCTACAGTCTCCGCAAGTCGCCCCGTGAGAGGCACGACACTCTTCGCTCCACGCTTCGTGACCTTGGGTTTCGTCCTTCTTCTGCCGACCTGTCGCTGTTTGTTCGCGCTGGTTCCAGGGTTGGCGACTTGTCAACCCTTAATTCTTTATACTTGTCTACGTCGACGACTTGGTCTTTGCTCTGGCTGAGATGAAGTCCAAACTGCAGAAGACACTCTCGTGCACTGACCTCAGTTAACCGCTACACTATTTTGGCCTGCGGATCACCAGGGATAGAGCCGCTTGCACCATCACACCGACGTAGTCACACATGGTGGAGCAGGTCCTTCGGCGGTTCGAGTTTCAGTTCTCCACCACCCAGCCCACTCCTCTTACTGTTGACCACAGACCCACTGGCCCATTTTCCGACGAGCCATTTGAGTCTAGTGGTCCCTACGCAGAGCTTGTGGGCTGCCTCATGTACCTGATGACTTGTACTCGGCCGAACCTCGCCTTTCCTCTCAGCATCCTCTCTTGTTTTGTTGCGACTCGGAGACACCGTCCTGTTCACTGGATAGCTGCTGTGAGGGTGGCGAAGTACTTGGCGACTACATCAGGCATGGGCTTGTGCTTAGAGGAACTCAGCCAGTTGAGTTGACCGGTCACTGCGACTCTTCCTACGTTGACGACGTGGATACTCAGCGTTCGACTCTGGGTTACTGCTTTAGCCTAGGTGCTGGTGCTGTGTCGTGGAGGTCTACACGGTCGTCATCTGTGGCTTCGTCTAGTGTAGAGGTAGAGATTTACGCTGTTGTCATGGCGGCACAAGAGCTTCGCTGGTTGACCTTCTTGCTCGCCGATTTTTTGTGAGCGGCCTCGCTATGCATAGGCCTCGTATGGTGACAACAAGGCCATGATCCTCCTGTGTTGAGAGCCTCAACTGGAGAGCAGAGTGAAGCACATTGACGTAAGGTACTTTCTCATGCGAGAGTTGCAGCGACGCGGCTAGGCACGCTTGGACTTTGTGGCTTCAAAGGCCAACACTGCCGACGTCTTCACCAAGGCCTTAGCGCCTGGTGACCACCACAGGTTTTGTGTGCAGCTAGGGCTTGTTGAGGTAGGCCCCTCGGTTGCTGTGGTTTTGCTGTTGCTCGGCTTGTTTTGCTTCGCTATATATCACAGTGAACTCTTGAACTGGCCTTGTAGCCGCTTGTTTGTGCTCAGAGTGTGTGGTGACTTTGAGCGCCACCCTGAGCCTTGTTTTGTTGCTTGCTCTTGACTGGTCTTGTGACCATTTGCTGTCACTTGTTTGTATCCTTGATGCCCCTCACTTAGCCCATAAGGGTGTGTCAAACTATAGTAACTCTTGTAGGCTGTAGTGAGGTGCCTTCTAGGGGTACAATTGTTAGGGTTGCATATTTGTATCCCATCCATTTCTTTTCCCATCATTCCGTTGTGCGTACTTCTTGAGAGTGTGGTACATCCAGTAAAGTTTGGACCCGTCACTCTCTACACCTTAGTGTTAATTACTGCAACATAGTATTACACAACTTCACCATTTTACTAACGTTCCTGAAGTCCTAACCTTCTCGGAATATTTCTTAAATGTACCTTACCACATGCTTACAGAAGCCTACTACACCCTACTACCCTACTCGGGCCAAATAACGACTGGCAGGGGAGAAGGACGAAGCAGTGGAAGAGCGAGAATCCACTTGAGGAGGTGGCACAAGTAGAGGGCTAACTCGTCGTGGAGGTAGAGGCGGCGCCCGTGCTCGTCTTCCATGCATATTCCATACATGATGGAAAAAACGAATTCCCCAGGACCACATGAAATTGTCTACAACATGGCAGTCTACAGTACCCTACTCAGGCCAGGTGGCGGCTAGCCGGGGAGAAGGAGGGCAGGTCCGGGCCCGAATCCGGCGCCGAGCGGGCTACGAGTGCTGCCGCCATGATGAGCAGCGGGAGGGCGAGGATCCACTTGAGGAGGCGGTAGAAGTGGATGTGGAAGGAGAGGGCAAATTCATCGTGGAAGTGCAGGCGGCGCTCGTCCTCCATCTCGATGAAGAATGTGGCGTGAGTGCGGCGCTTGGGCGTGGGGATCACCAGCGTGTGCACCCCCGCATGCTGGAAGGTCTCCTCGTGGGTCAGCTCACGCTTCGCCTCGTCAAACAGCCACACCTGACAGTTGGAGAGGAAAAGAGGGAGGGGATGACAAGGAAGGAGTGGCGAACCGGAGAAAGTGTGAGTCGTAACGTCGCTGCACGGGTAAACCCCTTCCACACCCTGCAGGAAAACAGCCAAGCATGGGATGCCTGATAGATGACCAGCGTGTGCACACCGGGGTGCTGGAACATCTCCCACACACTTTGTAGTGCCCGATTCCCGTATACCCTGCTGCGTCCCAGGGGTTTGTGCGCATCCACAATCTCAAGGCTGAGTCAAACAGAGTCACTTAGACGAGAGGGTCGTTCTAAATGCCCAGGACAGGACTCATGAGACGACCTGTATGCACTGTCACCTTGCACGGCCCGATTTGAGCGCAATACCGTACGCCCCTCCATGACCCATGGGGCTACGTGGATCCACGATCTTTTTTTGACTCGGAAAGAGCCCTTGCTAATGTCACGGTACTGGTCGGAGTGCGGCAGCAAGTAGATGCCCCATCAGTGACAGGCGGACTGACAACAGACGGACAGACAAACAGATGGACGGAGGGACTGAGGAAGACTGACGGCTTGCACGCACCTTCACTTTGTAGGGCCCGATTTTAGCCTTGTATGCTCCGCCATGCCCGAGAGGGTTACGGGCGTCCATGATCTCAAAGCTGACGCGGAAGGAGTCCTTGCCAATGTCACGGTACTGGGGGGAGTGCGGCAGCGCAGCATGAAGATAACACTTCCACCAAAGGACAGACAGACAAGGACCTTGACCTTGTACGGCCCGATGTGAGCCCCCCCCGTGCCCCAGGGGGTTGCGTGCGTCCACGATCTCGAAGCTGACACGGAAGGAGTCCTTGCCACTGTCACAGCACTGGCAGGAGTGCGGCAGCATGTAGATGCCCTCGTGGCTGAGATTGACAGAGACTGACAGAGACTGACAGAGACTAGACTGAAACTGACAACCTGCTCTCACCTTCACTTTGTAGGGACCGATCTGAGTGCCATACACCCCTCCGTGCCCAAGCGGATTACGGGCGTCCACAATCTCAAAGCTGACGCGGAAGGAATCTTTGCCAATGTCGCGGTACTGGCGGGAGTGCGGCAGCATGTAGATGCCCTCGTGGCCGTAGCGCGGGAAGAACACGTTGCGCCCCTGGTTCTGGGACGGCCATGCCTGGAGAGAGAGAGATTATTGAGGAGGCGTAAACACAGGGGATTATCAGGAAAGGATCTGCTGAGCGGGTGGTACAGCACGGATGTCTGGAGGCAGTACACAGAGCCGCTCATGGTGCAACACTGAACACACATGTATTTCACCCCACTATCAAGCCTTTGAAAGATGGAACTCAGACTCAGACCCCACTTCCAGACGTCCGTGCAGTACCACCGATGGAAGCTGGAACAGAATATCTCTCAACATCTATCGCTGGTACTGCACGGACGTCTGGAAGCAGTAGACTAGACAGCGCTGCCCAGTCTGCTGCCGTTCATGGTGGAAACCACTAGTTGTGGACGCACGTGTGCAAAAAAAACACCACTGAACATAGACTGGAAACACCCCTCCTCATCTGCCTCTCCTTCTACAGGTAGTAACCCCCCATGTATCTCACCTTGAGAGGATGGTACTGCACGGACGTCTGGAAGCAGTAGACAGCGCCGTTCATGGTGGAAAGGAAACCACCAGAGCTGATCACACATGCAGATGCCACCACTGCCGAGCCTTGCTGTGCCTTGCAAGTGGGTTCTGTCTCACCTTGAGAGGGTGGTACTGCACGGACGTCTGGAAGCAGTACACGGCGCCGTTCATGGTGGAGACCACCAGGTCTAGATCGTCTCCCCCATCCACGTTCTCCGCCAGGACCATGCTGTACCTGCACGGTTGAAAGGGGTTGGGAGCGGTGGGGTGGGATAGAGGAGGAAGGGGACAGGTGTAAGGAAACCACCAGGCCACCAGGTCCAGGTCGTCCCCTCCGTCCACGTTCTCTGCCAACACCATGCTGTAGCTGCATGGTTGAAAGGGGTTGGGAGGAAGAAGGGGACAGGTGTAAGGAAAGCGCCAGGTCCAGGTCGTCGCCCCCGTCCACGTTCTCCGCCAACACCAGGCTGTACCTGCACGGTTGAAAAGGGCCGAGCGAATGGAGAGTGAGGGGTGGAGAGTCTGGAGGGACGGTTTAGTAAGGGGTTGGTGGGGTGGGATGCAAGAGGAAGGGGAGAGGTGGTTGGCCCCTTTTGGCCCTTTTTCAAAGCCACTAGTTTCCACCACCAAACAGTTCTGACAAGTTTCAAAGCCCTTGACATTGATGTCCTTTGTCCCCCTTATACCCTCTTCCATTGCTCCCCTTGACATCCCAGTGCTTCCCCCCCCCTTCTCCTTCCTCCATTTCCTTTCCCCCCTCTACCCACTCCAATCCGCACTCACAAGGTTTCTCCGATGTCAAACGTGTCGGCACATCCTGTCCGTTCATCCACGGAGGACCGGAAGGAACCCATCAGACGACACCACCACCAGATGCAGCCCCGCTGACGCCCCCGCGTGCTGTCCCTTGCTACCCCGCCCTTCATCCCCTTGCCCTTGCTCCCTTCCTTCTCTCCTTCCTTTTCCCCCCTCCTCTCTCCCCCCCCCCTCTGGTCCAAGTTCCACCCACCCCTTACCCTGCCCATTTCCCCCCAACACCCCCCCCCCCTCCCTTCCCCGCGCCCCCGACTCACGAGGTTTCCCCAATGTCGAAGGTGTCGGCGCATCCTGTCCGTCCATCCACGGCGTACAGGAGCCCATCAAACGACACCACCACCAGATGCAGCCCCGCAGACGCCCCCACGTGCTGCCCCTTGCCCCCTTAAACCCCCTTCCCCTTGCTCCCTTCTCCCCTCTCGTCCCCTTGCCCATTTCCCCTTGTTTCCCTTCCCCTTGCCCCCCTCCCCTCACACACTCCGCAACCTCCATTCCCCCCCCAACAACTCACGATGTTTCCCCGATGTCAAACGTGTCGACGCATCCTGTCCGTCCATCCACGGCGTACAGGAACCCATCAGACGACACCACCACCAGATGCAGCCCCGCCGACGCCCCCGTGTGCTGCCCCTTGCTGCCGCCCCTATATCCTCTTCCCCTTGGTCCTTTACCCTTGCTACCTTCCCCTCCTCCTCTCTTTCCCTGCCCCCCTTCCCCCCCATCTTTAACCCCCACCCAATCTTCCGCCCATGCCTCTCCCCCTTCCCCATGCCCCCGACTCACGATGTTTCCCCGATGTCAAACGTGTCGGCGCATCCTGTCCGTCCATCCACGGCGTACAGGAACCCATCAAACGACACCACCACCAGATGCAGCCCCGCAGACGCCCCCACGTGCTGCCCCTTGCCACCCGCGTGCTTGTGCAGATCCACCAGCAGAATGGGCGCCATGATGCGCCCGTGCGTGCGGAAGGGAAAGCTCCCCACGTCCTTGCCTGGGGAAACGAAGAGGGCAGGGGAAGAAAGGGAGGGGAGGAGGGGTGACGGGGGAGGGATGAAGGGGGTTTTGTTGGCATTCTGTCCCTGTACAGATCCACCAGCAGAATGGGCGCCATGATGCGCCCATGCGTGCGGAAGGGAAAGCCCCCCACGTCCTTGCCTGAAGCGGGAAGGGGGAGGAGGGGAGCGGTAGGAGGAGAGGGATGCAAGGAGTAAGGAATGAGTGCTGCCCCTTGCCGCCTGCGTGCTTGTGCAGGTCCACCAGCAGAATGGGCGGCATGATGCGCCCGTGCGTGCGGAAGGGGAAGCCCCCCACGTCCTTGCCTGGAGGAAGGAAAAAGAGAAGGGGAAAGAGTGGTGAGGTACAGGAGGAATGGAAAGGAGTGTTTTTCGGGACGCCAGGTGCCTCTCCCACACCTCCTTGCCCTCCGGAGTGAATGCCACCACTTCCCTCCCACTACCCCACCCCACTCACCCTCTACGTGCGCCTAGTTAACACCAAGCTACCTCCGCAGGTGAATCCTCACCTGTCCTGCCCTGAGGAAGACCCAATGACCGCCTCAGTGAGCCTCCCTTTTGAGGTTCTTCAAACGCCCTCCCTCACCTGCTCTTGCATTCTCACACGTCCACCCATCCCCTCACACCTGTCCTGCCATCCAGCACGCAGATGTGCCCTGAGGAAGACCCAATGACCACCTCCGTGAACCCGTCCCCGTTCACGTCGCCCACGCTCGCCCCCTGCGCGATCAGCGATGCCAGGTGGCGCTCCCACACCTCCTTGCCCTCTGATGAGAAGGCCGCCACCCCCCAACATCTGCCCTACTCACTGCCATCAACCCAGCTAAGTTTTTCTAGAAAACGCCAAGTTACCTCTATCCTACTGCAAATTCTCACCTGTGCGCCCATCCAGCACGTAAATATGTCCAGAGGAAGACCCAATGACCACCTCCGTGAACCCGTCCCCATTCACGTCGCCCACGCTCGCCCCCTGCGCGATCAGCGACGCCAGGTGCCGCTCCCACACCTCCTTGCCCTCCGAGGAGAAGGCGGCCACGTTGCCACGGGTGTCGGCTGCAATGATCTCGAGCTTGCCGTCGTGGTTCACGTCAGCTGCCACCACCTGCCCCTGCACCTCCCCCATCTGGAGTGGGAACCCGGGCTTCACCTTGCCTGGTTTGAGAAGAAGGAGGAGGAGAGGCGAAGTTGGGAGGGCGGAGGGGAAGGGGGAGATAGGGTGAGTCTGGCTGAAAATGGTGAAGATAGGAGGGCGGGAAGCGGAGATGGGGAGGGAATGTGAGGAGTAGGAGGGGGGAAGGCGGCGGCCACGTTGCCGCGCGTGTCGGCTGCAATGATCTCGAGCTTGCCATCGTGGTTCACATCTGCTGCCACCACCTGCCCCTGCACCTCCCCCATCTGCAAAGGGAAACCTGGCTTCACCTTGCCTGGGGGAGTGGGGAGGGAAGGGAGGAGGTGGGGAGTGGGGAGGGGGGAGCGGGAGGAGGGGATAGGGTGAGACTGGATGAAATTGGTGCAAGTGAATGAAGGTAGTGGAGACAGGGAGGGGAGACGAGGAGAGGGAGGAAGGAGGGCGGCCACGTTGCCGCGGGTGTCGGCTGCGATGATCTCGAGCTTGCCGTCGTGGTTCACGTCTGCTGCCACCACCTGCCCCTGCACCTCCCCCATTTGTAAGGGAAAGCCGGGCTTCACCTTGCCTGGTTGGTGTGGTTTGGGGGGGAAAGGGGACCCGGGAGGGTGGGGGATGGGGAGGAGAGATGGAGGGAGAGTGGGACATTAACTGAAACAAGTAGATGTAGGCGCGGGACATCTTGCTGCCTGTGGTGAGATCCAGGTGCTGCTGCTGCTGCTGCTGCTGCTGCTGCTGCCGCCGCTGCTGCTGTTGCTGCTGCTGCTGCCAGTGCAGAGATGCACCACTGGTGGCAGCGCCAAGAGCACCGTGCAGGACCCAACAAAATCCATAACAAGACAAGCAGCACCCATGGAGACGCCACACCGGACGTACCAAAGGCATCAAGCCTGTGGTAAATGAAGCGGAGAGCCGACAGACGTCCCCTTTGAGTTCAGATAGGTTAAGAGGAGTATTTTTTAGCATTGAAACAAGTTCAGACGGTTTGATAAATTTAGAATATTTATGAGTAGCCATCTCCATTTCCTGTGCATGAACTGAACCAAAACCACTTCCAAATCAAAGAAGCCCACCTGAAGCACCACCCACCCAGAAGATACACCGCACGTACCAAAGGCGTCGAGGCAGTAGATGAAGCCAAAAGACATCCCCAACATAATTGTTAGGAAGCCATCTCCATCCAAATTTATGACAGCGGGAGCCGAGTAGATGTAGGCGCGGAACCGCGTGCTGTCGTGGTGAGGTCCAGGTGCTGCTGCTGCCTGTGCAGTGCTGCGACCACTTGACCTGCTGCTGGTCGTGGCAGCGCCTAGAGCACCACAGGACCCCAGAAAACCCAAAACAAGTCAAGCAGACCCCACTGAGACGCCACAAAGGACGTACCAAAGGCGTCGAGGCAGTAGATGAACCCCACCGACGTCCTAACAATGATCTCCAGGAACCCGTCTCCATCCAGGTCCACGACAGTGGGAGCCGAGTAGATGTAGGCGCGGAACTGCGTGCTGTCGGTGGTGAGATCCAGGTGCTGCTGCTGGTGCTGCTGCCTAAGCCAACCGAGGCCCCTCTCAAACCTAAGAAATCACACCACAACCCACACCCGAACCCGCACCAGAACCCGCACCAGAACCCAAACCAGAACCCAAACCAGAACCCAAACCAGAACCCAAACCAGAACCCACACTAGCGACGTACCAAAGGCATCGAGGCAGTAGATGAAACCCACGGACGTGCCCACAATGATCTCCAGGAACCCATCTCCATCCAGATCCACGACAGTGGGAGCCGAGTAGATGTAGGCGCGGAACTGCGTGCTGTCGGTGGTGAGGTCGAGGTGCTGCGACCACTTGACCTGCTGCGTGTGCAAGTCGAACACCACAATGGCCCCGCCGATGTACTTGCTCATGTCCACCCCCTCCTCCAACTCGTGCTTGTGCGCCGGGTCCTCGTAGTACCTGACACGGGATAAAACCATAGGCCCATAGGGTACATTATAGCATGGATGGTGTGGCATGGCAGGCCGATGGCCGATGTACTTGCCCATGTCCACCCCCTCCTCCAACTCGTGCTTATGTGCCGGGTCTTCGAAGTACCTGGTTGGTGGGTGGGAGGGTAAGGGGGGGGGGGGTGTTGTGCATTATGGCATGAATGGTATGGCATGGGGTTGCCCATGTCCACCCCCTCCTCCAACTCGTGCTTGTGTGCCGGGTCCTCGTAGTACCTGGTTGGGGAGGAGGGGGAGAGGAGGAAGGGGGAGGGGGGTGTCAAAGTATATATATGCTATATATGTTTAGGCTGTAGTGGGGTAGCCAATATGGGGTACAGCCCCTTATAGGGTTTCATACTTGTACCCAACCCTTGCATCGTTCATTCATTCCTGCTGCTAGATTCTGACAGGGGGTGGGGGTATATTAGAGCACGAGTGGTACAGCAGTATGGCATGGAGTTGAGGCGGGATGTACTTGCTCATGTCCACCCCCTCCTCCAACTCGTGCTTGTGTGCCCTGTCCTCGTAGTATCTGGTTGGGCAGGTGGGTGGGGGGTACAGGAGAGGGGGGGGTTGTGCATTATGGCATGGATGATAGTATGGCATTGGGGTTGAAGGGACATACTTGCTCATGTCCACGCCCTCCTCCTAACTCGTGCTTGTGTACTTGTACTTGGGGTGGAAGATTGAATCAAGATTGCCTTTCCCCCGCCCCCGTTTCTTGTTTCGATCAAAAGTAGCACGGGCAAGTTCAAAGAGCAGTACACATGCGACAACGCAAGCACAAGCCCAGCATGGCACAGCATGACACAACACACAGCATGGCATGCTGACGTCAAGGCAGCTGCAAGCTGCCCTGCCCCAAGCTAACTCACTCGCGGTCAAAGAAGTGAGATGCTGCCACCACCAGCTCATCATGGCCGTCGTTGTCAATGTCCGCTATCACCTGGTGCGAGGGAGAGAGGAAACGCGGCACGCAGGGAGAGAGCGCGCTGATTTTGTGAGATTTAAGTCTAGTTTTGAGGCGCCTCAAAATTTGAGTGGACTCAAAAGATGCCACCACCAGCTCATCATGGCCGTCGTTGTCAATGTCCGCTATCACCTGGTGGGGGAGGGGAGGCAGCAAGGGAGAGGTGGGGGGAGGAGCAGAGTGAGATATCACTCAAAGAGAGGCACATCCGTCATATAAAATGATGAACTCCTTACTCGCCCCATGCTTCACCTCCGTCCACGCATCATGCCTCTGAGAGGGAAAGAACAGAAACCGTCTTACCGGTGTGCAGAGGATGTGAGAGTCAACCAGGATGAACTCCTTATCCGCCTCGTGCTCCGCCTCGGTCCAGTCCTCATCCTCCCACATGTTCTCATTCACATAGTCATCATAATCGTACTCATACTCCTCCACCTCACATCCTTCACGGCCCCTCAGCCTCTGCGCAGGTAACCAAAAGAACCCTTACCGGTGTGCAGAGGATGTGCGAGTCCACGAGGATATACTCCTTATCTGCCTCGTGCTCCGCCTCGGTCCAGTCCTCATCCTCCCACATGTTCTCATTCACATAATCATCATAATCGTACTGATACTCGTCCCCATCCTCCTTCTCCGCCCGCGGACCCCCCCACTCATCATCCTCCCCCTCGTCCTTCTCTATGTGCTCCTCCTTGTGCGTCTCCCCGTCCCCATGATGCCCCCACCCGCCGTGACCCTCGTGCTCATCTTCCCCCAGCTCCTCCCCCTCCCCCGCTGGCTCCCCCTCGCCCTCCGCGTTCCCAGCCCAGTCATCCCCGTCGCCCTCCCACTGCTTGTAATCATCGTCATCCTTGAACACGTCCCACGAGTCTGCTCCTTCTTCGTCCAACTCGCTGTCGGGCTCTGCTGTGGGGAACTGGGGGAGAAACAGCCAGAGGGATGGGAGGGGCGGGCACACACGGACACACAGGGACGGAGAGAAGTGGGGGATGACGATGTGAAACAGTCCAGTCCTTCGCTACTCCCCATCCCCCTCCCACTGCCGGTAGTCATCATCGTCATCCTTGAACACGTCCCATGACTCGGCCCCCTCCTCGTCCAACTCACTGTCCGGCTCTGCTGTGGGGAACTGCGAGTGGAAGGGGAAGGGCACACACGGGAGAAGGAGGGGAAGGGTGTGGGGTGGGGATGATGAAAGGAATATCGGCCAGTGTTGCCGGTAGTCACCTCGACCTTGAACACGTCGCATGAGTCCGCCCCCTCCATATCTTCACACCCCCCCAAGCAGCCCCCTCTCTGACTCACATCCTCGTGGTCGCCAGCATGGTGGTCCCCGTGCACCTGCAGCAGCCTCCTGCGGGCAGCTGCATGCGCCCAGAACCAACATGCACCCACCCACACACGACCACCCTGCATCCCACCTACCCCAGCAGCCCCCCTTCCTAGACTCACATCCTCGTGGTCGCCAGCATGGTGGCCCCCGTGCACCTGCAGCAGCCTCCTACGTGCTGCCCCCACGTCTCCACCCCTCCCTGCCCCCGCCTTCTCCTCATGCACCTGCAGCAGCCGCCTACGCGCCCCATGCACCCCTCCACCAGCAGCAGGGGGCGAGTTGTCCCCTGGGAGCAGCAGTTTGCTCTTCCAGTCCTGGTAGTGCTTCCACAGCGCCTGCTCCTTCTCCCCCATTTGGGATCCTGGTGCCACCTTGGCCATCACATCTTGGTGCCACTTCTCCCACGACTGGATCTTCTGTAAATCCGCCTCCGTTGCTTGAACCTTCCCAGAACCTTCCACCTGCTGCTGCCCCTGCGCCGGCTGCTGCTGCTGCCCTTGCTGCCCCCCCGCTGCTGCTGCTGCGATTCCCCCACTCATAGCGGCAGCGACAGCAGCGGCGGCTGCCTTGGCCTCGGCTGCAGCATGCGCCTCTTTGCTGCACAGCCCGTCCTTCCCACAATCCAGATCTGCCAGCGCCGCCCCTCGCCCTCCCGCTCCTGCAGCACCACCAGCACCCCCAGCAGCACCCCCAACAGCACCAGCACCCCCACCAGCAGCAGCAGCACCTGCAGCATGTGCCAGCGGCTCTACAAGCGGGGGCATGTCAATCCCCCCGCTACTAGCACCTCCAGCAGCAGCGCCCGCGGCAGTTACAACAGGGGGCAGGCCCGGGTCCTCCTGAGGATTCTCTACCTTCACCTGTGCTTGCGCCTGAGGGTGCTGCTGCTCTGCGAGCGTTCTAGCAGCAGTGGCTGTGCCAAACGCGGTGTCTGCTGCTGCGTGGGGGATGCCTGGCTGCTGCAGGTCACTCCCGTGAGGCAAACCGCCCCCTCCTGCTGCATGCTGCTGCTCGGTATGCTTGTCCGGATGCTGCTCTGGGTGGTGCTCGTGATGCACCTCCTGCGGCTGCTGCTGCAGTGGCTGAGTCTTATACTGCCCCTGCGCCTGCTGCCCTTGTGCTTGTTGTCCCTGTGCCTGCTGCTGACCCTGTGCCTGCCCCGATGTGCCTGGTGCGTGGGTGTCAGAGCCACCAGCGCCGCGCTCAGCATGGGCGTCAGCGGCGTGGGCCGTGGGCAGGTTCAGAAGGTCTCCCCCCTGGTGCTGGCTGGACGCGTTCTTGGCTGCTGCTGTGTGAAACACAAGGGGGGGATTGGGGGGGGGGGGGCGCAAGGGGGTTGGAAAAGAGAATACCAGCAGTGTGTGCCGTGGGCAGGTTCAGAAGGTCGCCCCCCTGGTGCTGGCTGGACGCGTTCTTGGCTGCCAGTGGAAGCACAGAGAGGTGAGAGGGAGGAGAGGATGGGGAGAGATGGAGGGATGGTGGGTGCGGAGGGACAGAAAATATCAGTGAGAATGGGAGAACCACTACCAGCGCCGCGATCAGCATGGGCGTCAGCAGCGTGTGGCTTGGGCCGTTTCAGCAGATCTCTCTCCTGATGCTGGCTGGACACGTTCTTGGCTTGGCTGCTGCTGCGTGAAGCATACAGAGGGAAGAGCGAAGATGCAGAAGGTGAGGGAGGGGGAGGGAGAGAGGGTCGGTGCGGAGGGAAAAGAAACATCTGAGTTGACTTTTGAGTCGACTCAAAAGTCAACTAGGGTCGGTGCGGAGGGAAAAGAAACATCTGCGTTGACTTTTGAGTTGACTCAAAAGTCAACTAGGGTCGGTGCGGAGGGAAAAGAAACATCTGAGTTGACTTTTGAGTCGACTCAAAAGTCAACTAGGGTCGGTGCGGAGGGAAAAGAAACATCTGTGACGACGGAAGGACCACCACCAGCAGCGTATCTGGGAAGGTCATCAGCAGCGTGTGGCTTGGGCAGGTTGAGCAGATCGCTCTCCTGATGCTGGCTGGACACGTTCTTGGCTGCCGTGTGAAGCATGGTGAAGGGAGTGGAACTCTGGATCAAGCCGAGCATACCAGTACTGAGAATGCAGCTGCTTTAAACGAGGATATGCCAAACTATCGTTTATGGGAGCGTGGATTTCGGGGTGTGCATGGTTCACGTGGTCTGGATCCAGCCTCACATGTGCAGTATCTTACAACAAGGATGTCTCACCAAGTAGTAAGCCCGGCTCACCATCGTCAATGGGAGCATGGATGTCGGGGTGTGCATGGTCCACGTGGTCTGGGTCCGGCCCCACATACCACTCCTTGCGGATGCGCAGTGTCTTATAACGAGGATATCTCACCACTTGGAAGACCATCCTAGCCTAAAGCATCTCACCGTCGTCAATGGGGGCGTGGATGTCGGGGTGTGCATGGTCCACATGGTCTGGGTCCAGCCCCACATACCACTCCTTGCGGATGCGCAGCCGCGGCACACTCATCTTATAACGAGTCAGCTCCTCGCCACCAGGCCTGCAAGAAGAAGATGATACAAGTCAATGGGTGTAGTGAATAGGTATGACCGGGAACAGGGAGATAAGAAGTGGATTGGGTCGTCTCAGACGTGAAGGGAGATGATCTAAGTGTTGTAAACCGCAACAATGGATTCCTCCCACCGTCCTTGTTGATGCCGTGCAACAGGGTGTGCGAGCGAGCATCTGTGCCTGTCCCATCCACACTGCCTGCCTCCCATGCATGCATGAGAAGAAGCAGCTACTGACTCACGTGAAGGAGAGGATTTCGCCGTTGTAATCCGCGAGAATGGTCTCCCTCACCCCGTCCTTGTCAATGTCGTACAGCAGGGTACATAAGCTTCTGTGCCTCTCCCATCCGCAATGACTGAGAAGAAGTGATTTCGCAACTCACGTGAAGGAGAGGATCTCGCCGTTGTAGTCCGCAAGGATGATCTCCCTCACGCCGTCCTTGTCTATGTCATACAGCAGCGGGCTCGTGTGCGTGCTGGAGCGGTAGAAGGCCGGCCAGCCTGAAACAGAAGAGACAGACAGCATAAGAGGGGAGGTTTGAGGCATCTCAATGTAACCCTCAACGCAACCCTCACGCCGCCCTTGTCTATGTCGTACAGCAGCGGGCTCGTGTGCGTGCCGGAGCAGTAGAAGGTCGGCCAGCCTGAAACAGAGTCGAGAGAGGTCACAAGAGGGAAGGTTTGAAACTCTTCATTGTATTCCTCACTCCATCCTTGTCTATGTCATACAGCAGAGGGCTCGTGTGCGTGCTGGAGTGGTAGAAGGCCGGCCAGCCTGAAACAGAGGCGCAAGTGGGCAGATGGGTAAGGATTTGAGACGCCTCAACGTAACTCTCCACCCGTCCGTGTTGATACCATACGGCAGTGGTGCATGTACTGCACATCACCGCTGCTGCTGCCGCCGCCGCCACCACCACTCCATCTTGGAGGCGCAACAGCCACATCTACACATGGCGAACCCCAGACGAGCGAGAGTACGAGAACCACCACCACGTACCATGCAGACGGTCCCCATGCAGCCGATCTCCATCATAGCCGTCCAGCACCTCGAGGTAGGGCAAGATAGACGGCACCACCACCTCCACAACTACCACTCGAGACCAGCACCAGCACCAGCACCACTACCACCATCACGCACGTACCATGCAGCCGGTCACCATCATAACCATCGAGCACCTCCAGGTAGTGCACGAAGGACGGCACCACCACCTCCATCTTGCCGTCCCTGCAACAGCGATCAATACAAGGGAGAGGAGGAATGTGAGCGGAGGCAAATTGCAGAGAGTGCGTTTGACAACACGTCGTTTCGCCTCTAGGAATGTGGATGCCCCCGCGACAGCCAGAAGGCAAGGGAGACGAGGAATGTGAGGGCAGGCAGATCGCAGTGAGTGGGTTTGACAACACGTCGTTTCGCCTCTCGGATCCCTCGGTGTGAGGGAAATGGAGTGCCAGCGCGATGGATTTGAGAAGGCGGTACGAACCCAGCCTTTCAAGGCAATCGTTGCGAACAAAAGTAGACAGATTCGCGAGACCATAGACATCAGATGAGCTCAACCAGAACAACGGCCTCGCACAATTGCCATGATCGCAGCGTTAAAAGTTTTCCAAGAAGCCCTGAAACTTTGTAATCAACGAATTTGACAAAAAGTAACCTGCATTAATCATGTACTGACCGGTTAATATTGGCGACGAGGGGAGTGGAGTAGATGCTGCTGCTGACCTCCCCTGTCGCTACAGCTTCTATTGATTCGACTCAAATCCGCCTTTGTCGCGAGCAAGGTGAGTGTGGAATATCGTACTGACCGGTTAATATCGGCGACGAGGGGAGTGGAGTAGATGCTGCTGCTGACCTCCGCCTGCCATCGCAACTCCAGATTCACGGGACACCGGCTGTTCCCCATCGCCTCCTCGTCGCTGCTCGTACGCTCAGTCGTTCGTCCGACAGATCACGCCGATTTATGCACATGGCCACAGGGATGGTGGGAATGAGAGCGAATTCGTCGAAGCAAAAAAGAGCAGAAATTAGTAAAAAATGATGCTTATTTTTACGAATAATATATAATACGCTGAGTGAGGATTCTGAATCTGTAAGCAGGCGGGGATAGCCGGAAGGATATGAGAACAGCGAAGGAAGTAATATCCTTACACGGCTGGAATCGCATCGCTGTCGGCTGTCGCGTGACGCGACAGGAACTTATTCCCCTCATTGATCACATGTGAGTCTCTAGTAACCGGATTCGACAACTGTGCCTGACATTCCGTCGCCAGCAACGTCACCACGCACAGCACCAAAATGCCGACCTTTACGATCGGCTTCATCCTTACGCCTAACTCAAGCCGCGATGGACGCGGGACGGCGCGCAATCTGCAGACCTCAACGTGACGGACCGACCATGCGACCAGTAAGGAAATTCACGTTATCAGGAAAGGATACTGGAGGACGCTGAATTATGGAGGACCCTTGGGATGATCGAAGCTGGCCGTGGTGAACTGCCTGATAAGATCAGCGGAGATCAAGATTTGGAAGAAACCCAAGGCGGAAGCATACGCACTTCAGAGAAAAGGGACATCCTTTACTAGCGTACTATCAATGAGAGATTATGTAATGCCAAAACATAATTGTTATTGGGATGAAATCATAAGTAGCGATTCATAGCCTTATACCTATTTGCTGCATCCTTCATGAACTCTGGAGCTCTAATCAGCGTTTACACATTCATAATATGATTAAATTCAACATCAGACAAGAGGGATTGCAAGGAAAGAGACAAAAATAGGATGATACGACATCTACGTGAGCCTACTCATCGCCGGAAAGATACCTTGATGTCGAATGCATTGAAGTTAACCAGGTCTAATTTATGGTCTTTCACTGAATAGTTTTTGGGCTCGTTTCGGGGCTAGCCCTCACTCGTAAAGTGCTGGATTGGGAAACTGCAGTGACTGGGTTTCACACTTCCATGAATTGTTGCCTAACTCTTTGTTTGGCCGCATCTTCTTTTCCATATGGTACCCCTTCCGTCTAGAAATTCCATCCGTAACAACAAACTTTTGCATTTTGTTGTCTGACTGCTACAACCTCTGCTGGCAAAATCGTACAGTACATCCCTCATTCGCTTCTAGCCCCCTGAAAATCCACTCACTGCCAACCTCCCCCAGTTTCCTCTTCGGTCCAGTTCTTTCCTCTCAATGTGCCAATTTACGGGGGAAAATAACTGTAGAAAACATATGGTAGATGAGGAAAACGATCATCAACCAAAGAAATGGACGAATATGAGGATCAGGGGGACGGGGAAAGCAGGAGGAAAAGCAGGAGGGGGCTGACACTAGCCAAACGGCAAAAAAACTGGCGCCGCCCGGACTTGAACCGGAGACCTTCAGTGTGTTAGACTGACGTGATAACCAACTACACCACGGCACCTGTTCGCAAAGGAATATATATTGTTTTGTACTTTTTTTTTGTTTTGCAGGTTTGCCATGCAACTCACTCTCACCCTTATGGCGGCACTTGCTCTCATCCCATCTTCCTGCATAGCCATCCGTCGTTGCACTCTTCAACGACTCTCCCCCGTCTCCCGTTCGCCTCTTTCCTTTCCCCGCCCGCCCCATTTCGCGCTCTCCTCACCGTCTCGAACAGTTTGCGGCAGAGCTGCCGTGCGACGCTTTGCGACAATGGCGGCCGGGTATCAGGAGAGCGACGCGGTGCGGGAGGCCCGCGATCTTGTCGCGGAGCTGTGCCGCCACTTCTACACCCTCGGATGGGTATCGGGAACAGGTGCGCGTGAAATACACTCCTGTCGATCGGGCGCACTTTGAATCATACCCCCGTACTCTTCTTCATTCGCATACTCTATGTGATCTCCTCTGAGATCCCCCCATCCTGGCAGCCCTATTCCCATTCTAGAAGCTCCTATGTCGTCACATTCCTACGCGTCACGACCTCCAATGCTGACTTCTCGAAACGTGAGGCGACTGCTCCCGAAATGCCGATCAGAGTCTCGAGCAGACGCGATTCTGTAGCTGCTGCTCGAGACTCTGATTTGTACCGCCCCGCGCTGCCGTTTTGTAGCTTCGACAGTGCCCTTCGAAAGATCTGACCCCTACCGCTGACCAGCATTGGTCAGTCAACACTGATCAGCATTGACTAGCATTCACCAGCATTGTTAAATGCTAGTAGCAATCATCGGCATTGATCAGCGTTGACTGGCATGGGTCGGCATTGACCAGCGTTGACCGTCCTTATCCAGCACTGATTGAATCACAGGTCCTTTTGATTAGTACGAGAAGCATGGATGGATTAATGATTTGGTCACGCCTTCCAAGCATCAACATACCATACTCACATACTCACATACTCAGGCTCATACTGCATGGATATTCTAGTTTTGAGGCGCCTCAAAACTAGCCTACTCAGATTCATACCGCATGGATATCCCGTATCTTGTTTCGCTGCAAACACGATATTGCCGTATCTTGTGTGTGCTGCTCTCCTGGCCTGGATGCGATGCAGCAGCTTTCATGGCATGCGTTTTCCCGCAAGCACAGCTCTTTTCGAGTTCTAATCAAAGACATTCTGAACCATGCCAGCTGGCAGCTGCCCAAAGGATTTTCCAAGCTGCCCCCCAGGACCCCTGGGTGGGACCCCTGGGACCCTTGGAACCCCTGGGATCTCACTGACAGTCGTGCTGCCTGTGCCTGGATGGGACTTCTTGCATGGCATTGCATGTCAATGTGTGCACGCATTTTCTGTTATATGCGCATGCATGCATGCATGACCGTGCACGTCTGATTACGTCAGGCGAACGTTTGTGTGTGGTTCTGGCTCATTTGAGTGTATGCAACATCTGGCTTGTGTGTGATTCAGCATTCTGATGCTAGTGCTCCCTCCTGCGCACGCTTGTGTGTGTGGTTCTGTTCGGTGCATGCAGGAGGCAGCATCAGCATCAAGGCAAATGAGCCGGGGAAGACCAACCAAGAGCGCACTATCGTCATGGCACCGTCTGGTTAGTAGCGTTGCACCCTCCTTGCACCCATGCATGCACCCATCCATGCACCCTCCTTGCACCCATCCATGCACCCATCCATGCACCCATCCATGCACCCATCCATGCACCCATCCATGCACCCATCCATGCACCCATCCATGCACCCATCCATTCACCCATGCATGCACCCATCCATGCACCGATGCACTCATCCATACACATACGTCATTGCATCTATGCTCCATGCTTCACGCTCCATGCCCCTGTCCCCCCATCCACCCATCCGCGCACCCACACACACGCAGAAGGAGCACACGCTACTAGAGGACATGCATGTGATAGTGAGAGGCTGATAGCGGCTGATGGCACGGTGCTGGTGGAACCAACAGTCGGGCTCGTCTTTTCCCTTTTCCCCGCCTTACCAGCCATGCCATTCATGCACCCCTCGCCCCCACACACCCACAGGCGTGCAGAAGGAGCGCACGATTCCAGAGGACATGTATGTATGTGACAGCGGCTGACAGCGGCTGATGGCACAGTGCTGGTGGCAGCCAAGGTCAAAGGCCCCCCTCTTTTCCGTCTAACTCTCGTTGCTCACCTTGCCCCATGCCTTGTGCAACGTGCCCCCATGCCTTGTGCAACGTGCCCCCATGCCTTGTGCAACGTGCCCCCATGCCCCATGAACTGTTCCGCATGCCATCCCCCCTCTCCATCCACAGGCGTGCAGAAGGAGCGAATGATACCAGAGGACATGTATGTGATGGCCTCGGACGGCACAGTGCCGATGCGAATCTTATTCTCCTTCCCTCTGCCCTTACCATCCATGATGACCCATGTGCACATGCATGCAACCACACAGGCATGCAGAAGGAGCGAATTATACCAGAGGACATGTATGTGATGGCCCTGGACGGCTGGTGGAGCCCAAGATCAAGCCGCACTTCTCCTTCTGTTCCCCGTTGCTCTCCATACCCCATGCCTTGTGCCCCGTGCCCCATGCCCCTCCCTCCCTGTCAGGCGTGCAGAAGGAGCGCATGATACCAGAGGACATGTACGTGATGGCCCCGGACGGCACAGTGCTGGTGGAGCCCAAGGTCAAGCCGCCCCCACACAAGGCGCCCAAATGCAGCGAGTGCGGGCCGCTCTTCCTCAAGGCGAGTAATACTCGTTTGTAACAGAACAGCATGCAGCATGCACTCTTTGTGTTGAGCCCAAATTGTAGCCCAGCCCAAGGTCAAGCCCCCCTCGCACAAGGCACTCAAGTGCAGTGAATGCAGGGCGCTCTTCCTCAAGGCGAGTGCTCCTATCAACTCCTCCTGGGTTCTGAAGCGCGCCTTTGTCTCGGACAGACCAAGCGCGCCTTTGTCTCGGACAGACCAACGTCTCATGTGTACCATTATTCCATTTTGATAACCCGGTTTTTGCACCCTCCACAACCCACCCCGACCCACCCATACCCACACTTCCGCACCCCCACTCCCTTTTCCTCATCCCTCCTCCCCTCGCTCCCTCTTCCCACCCTCCCCTTCCATTTCGCCTTATCTCCTCCCACCTGCGCCAACACTCCCCCATGCCGCAATGCTTGAGGTACTTGGGGGGGGGGGGGGGCGTGATTCACATGTTGTTCAGTCGTTCCAGTGATAAAATCTCTTTCCCACACCCACATGCCTCCACTGCCCCATATGCAACAGTGCTTTGAGATGCGCGGGGCGGGGGCAGTGATCCACAGCCACGGCATGGAGACTGCCATGGCCACCATGCTCGTCCCTGGCGCTAAGGATTTCCGCGTGAGTGCACTCACTTGACTGGTCTGGGTTGAATGCGTTGACTGGGTTGACTTGCAGCACCACATGGTATGGCATTGTGACTGTTCTGATTCACAGCCGCGGTGTGGAGACTGCTATGGCCACCATGCT